GAGGGAGGGAGAGGGGGAGGGGGGGGGAAGGGAAGGTAGAGGCATTTTCCCAGCACACCAGAGACAGGCAAGGTAGGCATTTTTCTGTTTATTCTCCTGGTTGAATGACCCCTTTAATTAATTGTGACATTTAACAAACAAGGTACATGACATTTATGAACATTGGGCAGGGTTGTGAAATGAAAAATAGGTGTTTAAACGAAAAATTGGTACACAAGGCAAAGTGTACTATTACCGAGTATCACATCCGTGTCAACCATGGCCTTATAATGGCACCTCACCTTCGAGTTTACTAACATAAATTGGCATTTTGCAGTTGCATGTACCAGTAACAACCATCCTCACATTTTCTAATCGTACAACTTGATGAATCCAAATTTGCGTTAAAGGGTAAAATCAAAGTCTCTGAAATGGTTCTATCAAGTCCTAATTTTTTGGAATCCCTCCCCTCCGCCTCCCTCCCCCCCCCNCCCCCCCCCCCCCCCCCCCCCCCCCCCCCCACTTGTCATCACAATATGGACTATTAAGGCAAATGATAAACGACAACACCTCGTAGGTGAGAGATAGCTTAGATAATATTGGATAATCACGCACCAACACAAAAAACCACAGAGAATATGGTGTCTAGGCCTTATGAGACATGCACTTGGGATGATATCTGTCAAGTTATTATGTGGTGCATGATGGCTTGAACACTTCGGCGATCCAGACAAGTAGCCCCCCCCCTCCACCCACCTCCCTCATCATCCTATAAATAGGCTGTGTAAAAAGCACATTAAGTGATATCTGAATAGATGTATCTCAGTCCTGTCTTTCACCCACCCCCGCCCCCACCTCTCTGTTGCCTAGTGGTATCTGGTGGGATAATATATCACTATTTGTCCTTCAAACAATATAGCAAAAGTGTGTTTTTAAAAACGAGTCGACAAGAGGAGTAACCGGAGAAAATCACTCGTTTCAAATCACTTGTCTCTAATTTGACAGACTTTTCAAACCTCACAGATCTATCCTAGGCATATTCTTCTGATTTAACTAATATTTACGAATATCAGTACGCAACTATTTTATTATTAATATAGTCAAAATTCGGCAGAGTTTAATTCACTTTTCACTCGGAGAGTACACAGATTACTTTATTTATTTTACAATACGGGCATTTTTCCTCGGAACAGATAGAGTATAAAGAGGCATGCAAAAAAATACAGAATTTGAATCATAGAGCTTAAAGTATTTTTAAACCCGATAGGAAGGTCAATTTTTATAGTTTCAACTTTTAAAAAAGTATATACATAATAAATTTGTTTGTTTATCGCGAACACAGTGTTTATTTACCAAATGTAGGCTAAAATTGTCGGCCAAAGTAACAGGCATTTTTTTCAAAACTACTATCAAACCTACTTTAATTCAAACTAAAATAAAAAAACCCACAATAGATCATAAAAATATTATTCAATTGGCAAGCGGGTGTTTATTTTGTAGCACATAATAAAAACATTCGCCCAACAAAATAAAATTAAATCTTTGGATTCGCCGCATTTATTTGATCGAGCGAAATAATCCGAAAATAATGCACAAAAAATATGTCACAAATTAACTGAAAATTCAGACTTTAACAAACAATAGTCGTCTTACTTCTTTTCCTGAATTCGTTCAATTAGAGCTAATATGGCCCAATTATAGAAAGTGAAGTGTTTGAAATTGAGCTGAGAGGACCACACTTAAGTAAAAATCGGAGAGGGTGAACCTTTTTTACAAAAAATAATAATAAAAAGATGTTACCACTCATTTAACCCTCCTGAACGAGTAATAGAATGAAATAGGTGAGTAAACTCCTATTCCTCGTCTCATCAACGATGCGACATCAATTGAGGTGGTGTGGTCAGTCTTTGAAATTAAATTAATCGCTCAGTAATGATAATTAATTCAGAAGGCGTGAACACTCACATGTTCTCACTTCAAATAAACTAAGGCACCTGACACTTCTCCTCGTTTTGACAACCACCTCCATTGCATACCTTATTGAACTCATCTGCTGTTACCCCCCGTTTATACATATTTTCCCGGGATTAAAAGATGTACCTGTTTCGGCACTCTCCCAGAGAATAAAAAGTGCATACCATCTAAATCGTTATCAATGCTTCCTCTTCTAATAGCAGTGAGCAATTAAATCATAAAGAAATAACATGTTGAGAATTTAACCATTGAAAATGTAATTAAGTGGTGATGCAACTTACTAGTACATTTGAAGCAGGCTTTGTGGAAGTAATTATCCTCAATTTTGAGTACTGTGCCTCGGCATCTCTTATTGCAGATGGTACAGCAAACTTTTCCTGCAATTTTTAAGAAACGAAAAACATGAGGCAACAAGAACCGGATAGAAAATGTTTCCAGCAACTTAGGGCTAAGGATTAGCTGATTGATTAAGGGCTAATAATTGCGCGCACACACACACGCACACACACACATCTGCAGAAAAAAATAAGAGAGGGATCATAAAACAGGGAAAATGGAAAAGCAGCGACCTCTCTGTGATGCCGAGGTCAGGAGTCACCTCTAGCCACTAAGCAAGTAACTACTATTTCGCCCCGGCAGATAAAAAATGTCCTCTTAATAAATATATATATATATATATATATATATATATATATATATATATATATATATATATATATATATCGTTCCATATCCACTTAAAAAAAAGAAGATTCCACGGTACTGGGAAGAGATGTTTGGATAAATTGCTGAAGACGTGTCAGGACAATCCGACAACTTGGACGTGATCAAAATGTTCTGTTTGTCTGCACGAAAAGAACGTCGTGAAATGAACGCCTCTCGGGCGATTTATTGCCGTAACGACTACTTATTCTCCAGGTGCATGCTGCTTTCAAACCAAACAAATGCTTTCTTTTATCAATAAAATTGCAATAAATGAAAGTGGTTATAGGCGCATGAGCAAAAAGGCGCATATAGACCTTGAATGTAACAGCAATAAGCACTACCAATTGGGTCTAAAATAAGTGGTAAACGACACCGATAGACACAGGAAGTCTTTGAACTAGGGAAAAAGTGTGATATTTACAATTTATAGAAGTCCTGTTTAAAAAGGAAGGCAATAGCTTCGATGTAGATTAGACCAATTAATTTTAACAAAAAGCAAGATTTTATTAGTAGGACAAGTAGAGAGAGATTATAAGGAGGATAATTTCTTATCATCGAGATTGGGAAAAGATATCTTCGTGTCATAGATTCGGGACCAACATTTGGTGGCCGACTTGGGTGGCCAAAACCCTCTCGGTGAATGGCATGTTGTATGCACAAGAGGACTTAAATTTAATAAAGATCGTAATGACAATATCATTACCAGATTTAGGCACCAGAGAGACAAAAGGAAAGGGGTATCAGACACACATGAACATAAGTGCTATGAAGAGGATTAAAAATAGAGTGCACTCATCCCCTAATCAAAGTCCTCCATGACACAAAAAATAAGGCTTGGAGTATGCTAACTGTTTATTAATCGGACATTTTCTCCATGTAATATCTCGCTGAATAAGTCAAATGTTCTGCATGAAAATACAATTCAAGCTTTTTAGGCAAATTCGAATAACAAAAGGAATGTTGATCATGTTAGAATCTAGTAAATTTAAATAACTTTCGAAACGACGCAAATAAGAACGTAGGCACAACAAAATCTTTAAAACAATAAGCTGGAACTTTCTCAGACCAGTTCTAATAAATGTTAATGATTGAGATTAAAACTAGTTGTCTTTAATATCAAGTCAATATAAGTGTACTTTCACATTAAGCCACAATATTTTTAAAAAATACTGTGTTTCAACGAATCTATCATTACATCATAACTGTTAGAAAATAAAAATTTGGAAAACTGAAGTAAAAAAGACCATTACGATGGTGAATAAAGTTTTGCGAATAAAATAAGGTTTGAACTCAAACCTCCATTGAAATGTATGTACCGTGAAGACAAGATACAAAAAAAGAAGATTGAAGAAAAGATCATATAAATTATCACGAAGGCTCTATAAAATTAATATTCACAAAATAAAAAGGTAAAACAATCGAATTCTAGAAAATATCAAATTATAATAAAATTTGACTGAATACCAAAAAAGAGCTTTATAACTTTCTTAGAACGCAAATAAATTAATTTGTTGTAATAACGAAAAACGGAACGTGTGGGTAGTGAAAAAAATTATAGACACGTAAAAAAAGTAGAGAAACACAAAACAGAATTGTTACAGCTTTAAATTTATTCGAAAACACACAAAAAAATACGTGGGAAGAGCAAACTTCTATTTTAACATTGCAAAGATGGTTAATTTAACTTAAAGAATTGCAGTTATAAACGATATAATATTTATAAATAACAATTAATTTTCGAATATGAAACATTAAAACTCTCATTATCTTTTTTTGTTTTAAAAATGCAAATATACAATACAATATACTAAATCAAAATAGAACCTACCCATTTATAAAATAAACAGACGCAACATGAAAATATGCTAGTCCAAAAACCCGCGAATAATATTTGAGGTGAGAGAGAATTAATTGAGATATATAAACAAATCTGTCAATATTTTTTATATATATATTAAATATTAAGTTCTATAAACATTTCATATTTATGCGCCAGTATATTTTAAAATTAAACTTCCATTGCCAAACTAAATTTAACATTCTACTAGGCCGTTATCTACTAGATTCAAATCCAAAGCACTGTTTTATTATTACATGTGCTATGATCTGTTAAATATGAAGATTTATAATTTTATGCATCACTCGTGCAACCCTTCAATCATTAAATCAATATGGTTTAGTCATATGAAATTGGAAGAGATCTACACAGGCTTTTACAATTGTAAGGAAATATAATCGATGCAGTCAAAGAATAAAGGTGTTTTGAATGAATTAGGCATAGATGTTAGCTTAATGAATAAATTAAGGCTGCTTGATGTGAAATCAATAGAAGCCAACGCCTATCTTTTTGTGAACATTTGGTAATTTAAACAATAAATATTGTAATGATTTGAAAGAAATTTAGATATAACATACTTCCCTTATAATGGCTTCTAAGTATGAATTTAAATAAACTAATACTTAAACACCAATGAATTCATTCTATGTGAATATTTATGTATTGTCAATCTCCTATTTTGACATATTATGCACTTTTAGTCTTGAAAATGTATGGAAAATTGTAAATAAACAATGGAAAAGCATTTAGAGGAGTTGATAGTTATTTTAAATTTTATTTTTTGGATTTCGATTTAAATTTTTTATTCTCAAATAAAATAACAGTTTAGATTTTTAAACATTAAAAGCTAGCTATCACATTTTTCTCTTTTGAGTTCATTTTAAATAACATAATGGTATAAGATTTATTATTCGTTTTGATTAGCTGGGATAATATATCAGGTTGTTTGAACACATTTTACCACTTCCATGAATCGATTTAATGTGATAATACGTACAAAGGCGATTACGCTTTAATAGTGCACCTCATTTCAATTAAACATTTTCAGTATGCCAACACAATTAAAGTTGTTAAGGCATAAAATTAACTTAAATTATTTTCAATGAGATAATCGTCAAAGTTGATTCTTTATTGCATATGATGTGAAATTTATATTTGAAATCGCAGATACGACCTTGTGCTATGGTTACTACTCTGTGATAGTTTAATTTATGAATTTTTGTTATTAAATTTTCAACATGATCAAATCAGCAAAAGACGATTTTCAGATTGATGTAAGGGATCAAGAAGAATGGGAAAACGTATTATCAAACGATGGCTTAAAAGGTAAATTTAATGCCATCTTTTAATATTCGAAGTCATTGACATTTACCAAGAATGGTGTGGCCCTTGTCAGTCAACTGTTCCATTATTTAGAAAAATTAAGGAGGAAAATGAGGAAGATAAAATTTACTTCGTAACTGCAAATGCTGATTCGGTTGATTGTCTTGTAAAATATCGAGGAAGATCTGAACCTTATTTCCTATTATATGGAGTAAATTCCTTTTAAATACTTATTAAAGGATCAATCACTCGTCGCTGTAGTCAAGGGTTCTAATTGTCCTGCCTTAAGGGAAACAATTTTAGAAATGATAAAACAGGAACGTGCTGTTAAAGCCGGTGAAATAACTCGTGTAGAAATCGAAGATCCATATTTGCGGATACTCGAAGAAGAGCTAGCTGCTGAAATAAAGCGAAAGAAGCTTCAAAGAGGTTAAGATAGATATTCATCCTAATATTTTTATAGAAATTGACCAGGAGTGTTGTCCACTTATTTTTCATCCTGATTTAAACCCCGAAATCGTCGATGATATTATTGACATGGTAATGGGCATCGAAAAATTAATTCTTTTAGCTTAAAGATGCTCAATTTGAAATTTTAAAAGATGAAACCATAACACTGGATCCAACAGTGGTTAATGAGTCCCTCAATGATGAAAACATTGAATCAGATTTCATAAACCAAATCAATGGTCTTACAAACGACACACTTCGTTGTGTCATTGTAGCTAAAGGTCCTGAAGGTGTTCTTGACGAAATCAATAAATTTATCGGACCAAGGGATGTTGAGGAAGTCAGCGAGGATGAAAATTTCGAAAGGTTTTATTATAGCTTATCATTATTCAATTATTCTATAGCATAAGGGACAAATTTGGAAATGGTAAATCGGATTCTTGTGTCACTGTGCCTGATTCGAAAGAAATTGGTGAAAAGTATGTTTTATTCAGCTTATGCTATGAAAATACATGTCTTCTGTATAATTCCTTAATTTATAAATTTTTGTAAAGGTTCCTAAACATGATATTCCCTGATTTTTCGCCTCCAAAGATGATCATCTATGCTAAGGAGCCAGAAATGAATCATCTAAGCATTATATCTAAAAGAAGTCTCATAAAGACAGGAGAAAATATTTTATCAGATACAACAGCTTCTACATTGCCTGAATATAATGGCCCACCTCGCGTTATTGTTCTAGTGAAGCCACCCGCATACGAATCCTATAGAAATTCTGTTGTTTCCGATTTGGAATCTAACGGCTTTAAGGTGCTCTCTACCAAGGATTACACGTTTAGTGAAAACGAAGCCAAAGAATTTTACGCTGAATTCGAGTCCTTTTCTTACTATGAATCTCTCATATCTTCTATGACTTCCGGACCCACCTTCGTTATCATGGCTTGTCGTGAGGTCTGTTCCAATTGTATATAAACTATTCTACTGAAACCAAATAAGTAGGACTATTTTATATTTTGTAGAATGCGTATAACAAACTCAAGAGTATGCTGGGTCCCGAGTCTTATTCACAGGCATCAAAGGAAAATCCCGATTGCCTTCGGGCAAAATATTCTTATCCTTCGAACGGGGAAGACAAAGAGGACGACCTAACGTGGATCGATGGCACTGTTACGGAGGCCAGCACTGAGGATATAATGAGCAAATTTTTCCCAGTCGAGGAAACTTTCGCTCTACTCAAGCCAGATAGTAGACCAGCGTGGGAAGATATCCTTGAAGATATCAATAAAAATGGCTTCAAAATTGAAGATAGGCAAGAGATTGAGCTTACGCCCGACGATGTTAAAGTTATTTACGCAATGTGCATTGATAAGGTCTATTTTGACGACCTTCTTCGACAAATGACCAGGTTTGTTGGTTTAATTATAACCGATTTCTTTAGTGGAGCATCCTTGGCGCTGATTTTGAAGGCTCAAGACGCTGTCAAGAAGTGGTCAAGGTTGATAGGTCCTACAGATCCTGATAGTGCTGTGGATAGTTATCCGGACAAGTAAGTTATATGAACCATGCATTGCATGACTGAGTCATATCGATCCATCATATGAGTTTTGTGTGTTTCATTTCCAACGCAGTGTCAAACCGGAAGATGTTTGGTAAGTTATCTATCATAATTTTATCGCTACCTTGAGCGCAGTCTCCGAGCGACATATGGGATATCCTACTTGGAAAATGCGGTTCATGGGAGCTCAAATCTGGAAGATGCGAAAAAGTGTATCAAGCTAATATTTGGTAATACTGAGACCGAAGTTAGCCGTGGGTTATCAGGTTAATTTTGATTTATATAACTTAATTTTCTTAACATTTTTCTTTATATTAATCTATTTTCCAAAATAGATGTTGAAAACAATGTTAGTGACGTAGAGGGTCAGTTTACTATGATATTTGTTGTTTTACGTTTTTTGCATGTTTGTTTGATTTCTAGAAATACTTGTAATTAGTTTATTTTTTTTTGAAACCCATGTTAGTGTTTATTTCTGGTTTTTTTCGAAAAAAGGGAATAAAAGAATTATCTTCCGACACCACTTTTAATTGATTTTCATTAAGTTGTTTTTCTTATAATTAACCCCATTATTATCATTTAAATTACTCTTAACTGTATGCTATTGTAGGGTTTGTAGACTGAAAGTTATAATTAACTTTTATTATTATTATCTATCAATCTAATGTTCGAATGAACATCATTATTATTATAATAATAAAAGGTGTATCTCAATTTCACCTATTAATCCTGTTTTGACTAGACATCAATTCTTTTTTTCATACTTGCCATATACATATTCCGAATTTTCCAAGCACAGATTTGCAGGTGTCTCATGATTGGCAGTGAAAATTGCTTAAAATTGGGTCACTGGTGATTAAGTGACGGCTGATTAATTGCACATTCTTCATCAAAACGCGTTGTTTCTTTGCCTTCCTGTCCTTTTGTTACCCAAACCTCACCTCCCATGTCTAGACGCGTTTTTTTCCGATTCGCCTTTAATATATCCATTACTGTCCTATTTCACTTATGACTGCACCGTGCTCACACCCTCGCGCGTATGACTAATGCAAATTGTCTTTGTCTTTCCATTCGCATAAAACGCACGCAGACGCGCAGACTATCGCCTGGTCCATACCTTATCGTGGCTTACTCAATTAACTTTGGCCACCACAATTCTTTGTGTTCTACTTTTTGGAACTGCAGTCAGCTCCTATCCCATAGGCTTAACTTCTACTAATTGGCTCTGGTTCATATGTCCCATACATGCCAATTAATCCTGCCTCTTGTTGACCCTGTAAGCGTTCACTATTTCACTCCTATAATATTAAGGGGGCTACACGGCTTAATTCCTTCCGTCTTCTCTTCGGTTACTTGCACTTTTCCGCATCATTCTGTGCCTTTTATTTCAACATCCACGAATTTGATTGATCTGCGCTATCTCGGACCTTGAAATAGAGCTTTAAATAGATGTTGAAAACGAGGGAAGCTAAAGTCAAATTATCTTTGTGACCGATATGTGCCTTTTGGATCGGCCCTAGACTGAATGCTAGTCACGTCACGTCAAGTCAAGGTAAATAATAATGACAATAATTCTCCGACCTATAATTAAACCAGGCCTTATGCGGACACAACAAACGGGCGCGTAGCTAGACAACTGCACGGCTTTTAAATTAAGAAATTAGTCTTTGAATGTGTATTTAATCGCCACATTTACATCCCTCATAAAATTCGCATTAGTGCTCCATTAAGTGCAATTCCTGTTTATTTCTTCTTACTCATTTAACAGTTAAATCATTAAATTTTGCTACTGTTACTTTGGTTAATTTGTTGTGAATAGTTACCCAATTCTGTGGTTACGAAGTTTCTCCTTGAAATTGTTTCTGCTGCTAAGGCAATGTCAGGCCATGGCAATCTGGAGCAAATGAATTTCTAACTAATAAAATCAGCATGATAGCTCAATGGCGGGGGGTGGGGTTAAAAGAGGATCTAGGGGACAGTTGAATTGAAAACCAGATTGCCATTTGTTCACCGCATAGGAGGTGGGATTGGGTGGGTGGGGGGGGGGGGGGAATATCAGGAGTCCGTCACGGGTGTGTCAAATGAGTCACTGCGTCATTCAGCTGTTTGAACGAATTTCATACACTCGGGAATTGCACGATGTGTTTGAGGTTATAAGTATCTGCCCCTAATTGTGTATAAGCAAGATTAGGTAGATTACAAAAGCCTTTCATGCAACACATACTGTGATCTCTCTCTCTTTCTGATGGAGCCACTGGCACGCTCGTGTCTCATTCAATAAGCCAGATCTTATAACAACTCTTCTTGCACTAGGTGATCGGTCATGCCAACTTGTGCTTAACTAGATGAAATTAATTTTTTATTATACGAAATCTACGATTCACGTGCCTTTAATTGACACGGTTTTTTAGGTATATCTGTGAAGCAAAATTTTTGTGTACTCTTTCGAAAGAGGCTTTTCATTATGACATTTTAACTAACTTCAGAAATGTCTGAAATGCTAACAACTCTGTAAACAACAATCTTTTTGAGTAGTTATCCTGACGTACGTCTTCTAATCACCGTTTTGAGTGGGAACAGTTATCAAATTTAAAAGGTTATTTCGATACAACCTATTCTCTACCAGTACCAGATAATTAGAACTCTGGTTATATCTTGATTTAAAAAAACGAGCCGTAACAGCCAACTTGTAATATAAAAGAATCCTTAAATAGCGGTTTTTGATAGAAACGATCAAATTTCTTTTATTTTCGAATCAGAGTGTTCTGTTTGGCATATGTTCTCTGTTCATGGCATTTTTCAAAGAAACATTCACTTACAGCACATTTCCAATAATATTTCGTTTAATAGTTGTCGTAGGATCTAAGTGATGTGTGCAGGACATAAGTTAGGAACCTTTCTCCAATATGAAAGCTTCACTGTTTCCAATCTCTTTCTACTTATTTACATGTTAATGAGTAGATGTTTTCAATACCCACCAACACCCCCCCCCCCGACCTCTTGACCTCTTAAGCCAATTGCCTAACTGGTGCGCTGGTAGTTTGGCAAGTAGACTATCTGTTAGATGAACAAACCGTAAAAGGACATTGGCATTAAAATTGCCCCGTTATTGTTCATACCTACTCTGCCTCTCTGTTCGCGCTAATATTAAACTAAAAGCAACTTTTATAGATGTTGTAGCCTCACAACAATCCCATCAAGTGGAATCGGAATTTAGTCAAGAAAAGAGCGAGGAGATATCTCTCAGAGAATCTAAAACGATGCAACCTACTGAGATTATTTCAGAGGCTGAAGGTCAACCAGCTATAGGTAACAATGGATAATTTATTGTTGATGTCTGGATATGATAATAACTCATTCACTTTCAAACAGATGCTGAGGTCGAAGAGGATAAGGCGTCTGAGGAAAACTCCCAACGAGTTTCTGAATTGAAGGAAAAGCTGTCTTCGCCAAAACACTCCGAATCTAGGAATTCCAATAACAGGAGGTCCACGTCCCGCAGGACCTCCAAGCTCACCTTGAAAAGCAAGTCTCATGATCTTATTTTTTTCTTTTGCCTTTAAAAAGAGGAGCTCATGCAATAATTCCTTTTCTTACTATATTTTAGGGACAAAGTAGCTATTTCCCACCTCCCCTCCCCTCTCCGTGTCAGTCATTTCATTTTAGTTTGAAATTGTTTTCTTTTCCACCACAGAAAGCATTTCCTATTTAATATCTGCAACGCTCACTTATTTGATGTTAATAAAGCATTTATTTTATCATAAGTTTTGACTATTTTTTTTTCTAACCACTGAGAATAGTATGTGGGGGTGGAGGGTGGGTTTGGACTTGGAGTCATCAGATAATAACGACAAACACAGTGGATGGTCACATTTTTACAGAACCAGATCGTCACGGGTTGGATGGAGCAAAGTGTTTTGTAAATCTACGGTTGAATTTTGATAGAGTGCGCTCGCTCGCACGCGCGAGAGAGAGATGGAGAATTTCGATGCGTACACCAGCAGATGAATGGCAAGCGTAGAGGACCAGAACTGCCAACATGCGTAGTTTCAATCCACGCTGAATTACTTCGTATAAACGGGCTGTGCAATAGACTTACCTCCACGTGGTGCACCCTGGGTAAAGTATATTCATACGGCAAAAAAGTCTATTGACTTGCAGTTGACTTCTCACTTCTAACTACCATGACCTCACTGTGTGTCATAGTCGACCACTTCCATAGTACTCACCTCACTTCTTTTTCTACCTTCTTCGTTGAAACACTCTTCTGTTCCCCCCCCCCTCTCGACTGTTTTTCACCCTGATGTTCCTCCCCCGTGGAGACGAAAAGGTCTGTAAATCGGAAGTTGACTTCGGACTTTAAGCTACCATCACTCCATTGTATGTTATATTACATCATTCCCCAGCACTCATCTTACCTTTTCTCTATCTTTGTCAGTCTGTTTGTCTCTCTTACATCTGTGAATCGCTCTTCTTATCCCCTGTCGAATTTTTCTCACTTTAATGCACCTCCCTTCTGTGAAGCCCGAAGTCAGCTAAAGGTCTAATGATAACTGTCAAAATGCCTGCCATTTGAAATAAATCAATAAACTTCTTATCCCCTGTCGAATTTTTCTCACTTTAATGCACCTCCCTTCTGTGAAGCCCGAAGTCAGCTAAAGGTCTAATGATAACTGTCAAAATGCCTGCCATTTGAAATAAATCAATAAATAAATGTTCCTTCCCCCCTGTGAAGCCTGAAGCCAACTAAAGGCCTAATGATAACCATCAAAACGCCTGCCATTTGATATAAATAAAACTTCGTATAGGTGTGATTGATGATTGGTTGGGAGGTTCCTTTCCCCCCCCCCCCCCCCTATTTTCCAGAATGTTCCATAGTGAATGTGGCCTTTCGGTCCACTTGAGAGCTATTTCTCCCGCTAATTAAACTAAACCGTATGAGGACACACGATGGCTCTACAATTAAGATGAGGTCACAACAGCAATTAGCGACACGGCGTAATAAGGTTTATTTATTTATTTATATCAAATGGCAGGCGTTTTGATGGTTATCAT